CTAAAGTGGGCCTACATCAAAATTATTAAGTCTCTTCAGATGCATTTGATAACGCGGGAAAAAGGTATCTGGAGGTAGTAGAAGTAACGTGGTTTAAAAGTCTGAAGTGGGTGGAGTTTGCAAAGAGGGGGGCGGGCCTGAGATCAAGAGTTTATACATCTGTCCTTCACACTAACCCTGACCACATAGGCACACAAATAGGGGAAACCACTAAACTCTTTCAAAATTGGGCTAAAAATTTTCTAAAAGTTAGTATGCATGGTTCCACCCACAGTAGTCCCTTCTACACAAGAGCAAATGCACTACATTAACTTCAGACTTTATAAAATAAAGTCTACATTAATCGGCCGCATAGGTGCATACCCCGTAGAGACGTGTAAATCCCTACACCTACCCAAAGGCGCTTACCTTTCAAAGATGGTGTTCATGGCCACACACAGCCCAAACTACACAGTTTCTTCTACTATATGAACTGCAGAGGTATTTGATTTGGATACATCGGAGTACTCTTCATGGTCACACACAGCCCCATTTCACACCCCAAAAAATGATGGCCGCTACAGAAGTGTCAGGGAAGAGACTCAGATGATAATAAAGGTCTATAATGAAAATCAGAAGCTCATGTGGCTCCGTCTCTCATGGCCAGAACCCCTAGCGCGCGGTAGCGTGCATAGCGTGCAGTAATGAGGATGGGACACTCATGCCTATAAGGAGCCGGAGGCATTAAAATTACATGAGAACAAGTGTTTGGCGTTAAGATCACAAGCGTTGGAGATCTTTCTAATGGAATATCCACGAAATTGGTTTTAGAACAATCCAAATGATGTTGATTTCGAAGCATGGCCTAAAATGAAGGGATGGTTGTTACGCGAAAGCATGGGAGGGGAATGCTGCGTGAGTGCCTACGTTCCTCACATCACCAGCGCCCTTTAACAGCTAATTTGGCATCATGATATCTTCTTGGTTATGGTGTGGACCCCACTGTATTTCAGGAACGATTTAGTCGAAAAGTGCATAGAAAACTGCAAGATGAATCATGTTTAGTTGAAACGCCATATCCGAAAACGCCTAGAACCGACAGTTGAGAGAGAGGTGCTCAGACCGGGACCTACTATGTTGCTGTAGGGAAGGTCATGTGACATTATTCACCAACACCGCTAGTCGTTTAGCAGAAGTACACGACCCTAGACCTTGAAGGCTCAGTTCACGATAGTTTCAGGTTATCTAGTTTCAAAAGAGTAATGGAAGTGATAGTTTAGCATAGTGCAAAAATTGCGAAGAAAACGCGACAATCGGGGTATTCGGAGAAATAGGTTTTCAAAAAATGAAGTAACAGTAGGGGTTGGACGAGAATGGTACGGAAAAAGTTGCATGGAAGGGGTATTGGGACAAGCTGTTCAAACAAGAGGGGTTTAATCGTCTCGTGAATGTGTGGCACAGTAACCCCAACACACGCTGAAGCCCCTCTAAAACACCTCTCACATATACGACGCAAAGGAAAGGTACCCCGAGTGAAGCCCACGGGGGTGGGTACCAGTGGGTTACGGTGTCATACATTCACGGAACGTTAAAATGTCTGTAATGCTGTTCGAACGCGCGCGCGGCACCTGAGTGAAATACGCTGTCTGCGTGCAAGGAGTCGGTCCCGATGCGAATGGTGCAACTTGATAGCTTTTACAACGTTTAACAACTCCTCGGCCTTAGGTGTGTACGTCGGCGAAGCCGGTTTTGGGGGCCCATTAAGCCCTATATTGACTATATCACGACTCGACAGCGTCCCTCGGGCTATCTGTGAGGTTCATCCTAGGGAGAAATCTCACAAACAATTTTTACGTGAAGTGTTTCTTTGAGTGGGTTGAGCTAGGTACAGGTTTATGTGAAATCTTCAAATCGGTTCCCCACAAAAACCCGAGACTGCAGACACATTTCCTACACAGCAAGCAACATTCAATTCTTCATGGATGAAGATGAGAATTTAAATGACATAAGGGTTCTGATACTCCGTAGATATTGGAATAGAGGAAAATGGTTGGTTGAATATAGTAGGAAAATCTCATTCCGATAATGTTACATTAGGACAAAGCTGTGGGACCATAAAGTTTAAGCATTTTTTGCTCAGCTTACTGGTTTTGAGAGCTTAAAGTTGTTTGGTGACGAAGGTGGTAAACTGATTAATCAATTCATGTTGGCTAGCGATCATCCACAATGCCGAAGTCTTATACGCTTGTCGTGCGTACAAATGCTGGGAACAACACAATCCACAACCCGTCCAGCTTTGAATCTGACACGGTCTGTTCCTTCAAGTAGTGGTACCAGCCCTATCAGCCTTCAATCTAGTTTTTCCAATTAGACAATGGGTAACTTCAGCTTCAGCCTACACTCGGTTGTGTGCGTGACAACGATGCCTTTACGATAGGTACAAAAACTGTGCATTCACGGTTGATGATTTTTTATGATCGGAAATTTTTTTACAAAAAAAAAAACAAAATCGGATAATGCATTTATCATATTTGTTTTGGGATGCCAATGAATAGAATACAAACACACATAGAAACATCAAAACGTTTCAAATACAGTTTTCCTGGTGCTGCGACAGGAAACAGACATATTCACAACATTTTTCCTCTTTCTATACCGGCAAAAGTTCACAACCTCCTGCCGGAGTTCAGAGGAAATTAATAGTAGAGAAAAAGGCGGCATACTCATCGTGAGGTCGTTCATCCAGAAGTACTGAAAAATCCTTTAGATCATCTACATAAGACTTTTTCGCTTCTTTTATTACTGGCGTATTAGGCGGTGGCATTCCAATAGATCCTTTAGTATGGCTCACAGAACAAGCACAGTATCCGCTTGATGAAAACAAACCCTTGTTTGGCCTACTACTTGTAAGGGCGCTACATTGGCTAGGAAACTTAGACCACCTTTTCGGATGATGACAAGCCTCGTGTACCGCTCACCTATAGCGGACGTATAGTGCCTTCGATGCGATGCGCCTATTCCTTTGTGGACACAGTTGGATTTTACATAAGGTAAAGAATAAAGAATGAAGTCTTTGATCTTTTCCATCGAAACTGTCCAAGGGATGCCTCCCACTTCCATTAGGAATCCCAGTGGCGTATTAAATGTGGCCTATGGCTATGGCCAGAAAATGTACAAGTCAGTGCTTTTATCCCCCCAAACGAGCTTCGTACCAATCAACCCAGGATGGATGACCCGGAGGGATTGAAGGCTCGGTTTCCTTAGGCGGATATCGATTTGGGATTCGAACTCGTAACCATGCTTGTGTGGGAGTGTGCCGCTTGCCACTACACCACCTCAGTCCTTCTATACATATAAAGTAGAGCATACAAGTTTTCATTTTAATACGCGCAAATCGCTGAAATGTCAGTAAGAAGATGACGGAAGGTAGAGCCTAAGTTGCGTAGGGAGTAGTTTCATAAGTATAACCTCAAATTTGGTGTCTAATGGATAAGCAGCCAGCAGATAAGTTTTAAGCACTACAGCACTCAGATTCACCACATGAATAACCCCCACATACGGAGTTTTCTGAATCAACTTCTACCATAACAGACCGCGGGGGGAAAGTGGTGAACATTTTGTCGACCACTGATTCAGTAGCTTGTTAGCATACCAGCCCTGCTTCGACATCACCATTCATAAAGCCCGCAAAGACGGCTACCCCTCCTACAGGCGATAGTGGAGAGGTGGTCCCTCAAAATATTTTTTATACAATTTCGAATTCGAACATTTTTTTTTGTGTTGCGATAATTCCGCGAATGAATGATAGTTCATGGCGCCAGCATGTTTATCCTTCCAACAACTTTAGTGCCTTCATGGTTTGGCTTTCTTTGGGATTCTAGACATTAATCAACCCTAGAAAGCCTGCTGCTGGTAGATGCCACACAAATCATCGTGTTACTATTATATAAATATTATAGCACAGCAAGTGCTAAAGATGGAGTCACAGCTAAAAAATCTTATTCTAACGATCAGTTGACTTTCGTTATTTATACCAGATATTTAAAGATCATAGAATTTTCATTTCTATTTGGTAGTGAGTCTTGAGCCACAGATGAGGAATTTTCGGTAATATATATAATAACAATTTCATGGAGATCAAAAACCCGTGCTATGTTAATCGTTCACAATCGGGATAGCATTGTCCGATGACCGGCATGGTGAGAAAGAACACTTGCTTCCCAAACGAAGGATACGTTTGGCCGACATTTCTCTCAAAGTTTGCCAAATCAGCTCTGAAAAACAGAAACTTCGTAGTGAATTCAGGAAAAGGGTTTAGAATGGCAGTGCATTTATGGCAAAGGGCAAACAAAGCGAGACACTCATTGAAATTAGCCTTGTATAAAACTCGTCCAAACCTAGTTTGTTTTCGGGTTGTACGAAATTACAGGGAAGAGAGGGGTGCTTGGACAAGATTTCAGTCGTGAGCAATTGCGTGGATAATTGGCTACAGTATCGCGGTTGACTAAAATTGCCTTTCACTATCTCCCAAGTCAGAGCCCCGGCCGATAAGCTGTTCAAAGTTTCATCAT